CAAATCGAAAAGCTTGTTCACTCGTTAGCTCGATCGAATAGAAATTTTACCCATGTAACATTCTCAGGAAGACAAATAACTTTCTCTCATGTATTTGAAGTTTAAAACATAAATTATAAGGGAGGAGGGGACGAAGATGACGGACAAAAACATACCCATAATATTACACATTTTCATGCAGAGTTAAGTCTGCTCTGCTGAAAAAACTCGTATATCTCGTTTCTGTCCTAACCAAACTGAAGCTGGAAGATCCTTACTGCTCATCCTTGTTATTCACAAAAGGGTCCCAAATAAATTACCCTCGAATACAAATATATTTGGCCTTCTCAGTTACGATCAGCTTGGAAACACGTTAAAAATTCTCATGGGATCCGAACTCAGACACAAGGAGACCGATTTAGTCACTGTCACTATTATATCTACCAGCTGGTAAAATATAAAAACACAAACAGAGAAGAAAAAAGGTAAATACAACTGCATCATTTCAAACTTTTTTCAAAATTTACCCCAAACTTTTATTTACTATTGACCATCAAAACATCAGTGCATTTTTTTTTTTATTTATTTATTTGGTGTAGAAATTAGGTCAAACACCAAGTTAACCTTCTGAAATCATTCAATTGTAAGATAAAATTATACACTGGAGTTAGTTTTTTGTGTGGAAAGATAACTTGAAGTTTGCGTAAAGTGACTAAAAACCTTTCAAGAGCTGCACTTCTAGATTATCTCTTTCAAAAAATAATCACGGGATGAATAATTAGGAAGTATGCAAATCGATACCTCCAGAAGGTCTTTTTCCTTCCATGGCTTCTCTTTTCTCTTGGCAGCTCGAGCAGAGGAAAGGACCATCCCAAGGACGCAATTTTCTAGGGTCTGCAGTGCCCGCATGTATCGAGATTCCTTCTCCGGGTTTTATTTCCACTTGGCAAACTGCGCACATGAACAGTTTAAACATGTTGCACACCGGGTACTTCGCATCCAGCCTGTATTCAGAGTATGAATGAGTAAAATCATCCACACACGAGAATAGTAACATTTTATATAGAGATATTCGGGGTTATTTCACTTGGGCCTGCCAAATTTAGGAATTTACTCTTTAGGATGCCTAACTTTCAGCATTCTTCACTGCACCCCTATCGTGAATTGATACATAGTCCACTTTATGTTTGGTCCGAGGATAAAGCACGGCAAACCTTATGGTTCACAGGGCAGAATCAAGTATGTAAAATATTTCATGGGCCAAGTTTGAAAAATATCATTTCCCATGCAGTTAACTTAACCCGAACATATATTACCGTTCTGCTTACAAAAAGATTAATTTTGTTATAGAAAAGTTACTGCCCCCTTGACGATCTTTTTTCTTTTAGCTTTTGTTTTACAAACAGCACATAATTGAGGGATAACTCGTAAATAGATTAAAGAACACCAATTGGGCATAAAGGTGTTTCTATAATTTTAAAATATAAAGATTTATATATTTTTGGGTAATTAAGCAAAACCTCATGTATAGTTTTAGTAACTACCTGATAACATGTTGATTCACATTAATATTTCCTAAAGTAGACATAACATATTATGTATACATCAGACAATAATTAATAAGTAAAACCATCCGGACCTTTCTGAAAGAGAAGCCGAGCCTTCCTCAAAGAGTTCCTCCACCAAATCAGGTTCACTATACTCTTCCTTGTCAACCTGAGAAGATGATTCCGAGTTCTTTTTACGAAACATGGCCTTAAAGACTCGCTTTCCTTGTTTTTTGAGAGGTGGTGGTGGTTTTTGAGGGTCCGGCTTTTCAGGTGGCTGTATATCCACAACAATACACGTTGTGTCATCTCGAAGACCTTTTACCTGCACAGCTTCCTGCAAGAAACAAAATGGTAAAGAACATTAAATTTCAAGTAAAAAAAAAAAGACAAATTTTAACTGTCAAGAGGTAAAAAAGACAAAAAATGTTACTTTGACAATCTCAGAAGCTGCAGCATCTGCTGGCATTCCTCGACAGCACTCGAAAGCTGTTTCGGCAGATAAAGCGTCCCAAACACCGTCACTTGAGATTATTAGTCTGCCACCAGTGGATGATAGCTGCAAACGAATGGAATGATTTTAGCCGAAAAGAAAAAGATGAATTCTAATAGCAACTCTAAACAGATGTAAATTGTAATGGCTCGATAAGTATTCGAGAGGAATAAAATAGAAATCCTATCCTTCAGATTTAGTCTTAACTATATAAGAACCCAATACCTTCTGGTATTGATAATATGTTCAGTTTTATAAATTGCACATATAACCCGGAGGAAGTAATTATCAGACGTCTACTTCAAGATGTTTGTAATTTAAGAAGATGATGAGATCTTCCTGTTATTAGGCTAAACATCATGTTCACCTCTTGCAATTGAATTATATTTTCTCATGGAAAAACTAAAATTTTAGGTAAAAATAATTGTTTCGCAGTGAAGGTAGTCACAATTAATCTCAAAACATTTATGAATGCTCATCATATGTATGGTCCCTTTTCCCCTCTTTTCTTTCCCATCATGTAGTCACAATTAGTAGTTTTAGGTGTTTTAATCCATTTCTCTATGTAACAATCAGAAAATTTGGGTATTGTGTAGTTAATATAGAGATCACAAGAGTTCTACAATAGAAACACTAAAATAAAGTATAAATCATGGAATCATAGAAATATGAAGTAACACTTCCTTAAGTTGTGTGAAAACCATAGAATTGAGACAGAGGGCTTATAT